AGTTCTTGAGAATGTTCTACATGCACTGATGAAAAATGTATGTTATCCTCTTGTTGTGTGGAGTTTTCTATGAGAGTAAATTGGTTATTTGCATTCTTTGGGTCTTCTGTATCTTAGTGGTGGGCTTAAAGCTCTGATGCCACCACTTTGAAATTCTTATTAATTTTGCCTTTAAGTTTGAATTTGTGTTTTTTAAATGAAAAGGTGTGCATCAGAGCTGTGCCCTTTCTCTATATCGTGTCAATCTGTATGCTGAGCAAATTATTCAAGAATCTGGATTCTATAAGGAAGAATGTGACATCAAGATTGAAAGAAGACTAATCAACAATCTTCATAATGCAGATGACATAACCTTGTTTTCTGAAAGTGAGGAGGACTTGAAGTGCTTGCTGCAAAAGATCAAACACTGCAGACTTCAATATGGATTGTATTTCAAAATAAAGAAAACATAAATTCTCACCACTGGGCTGATCAGCAACATCCTGATTGATGGAAAAATCATTGAAACGGTCAATGACTTCATATTACTTGGATCCACAATCAATACATTTGGTACCAGCAGTCAGGATATCAAAAGATGTATTGCATTGGGAAAGTCTGTAGTCAGGGACCTCTCCAAATTGTTGAGAAGCAATAATATTAGTTTGAGGACTAAGATGTACCTGATTCAGGCTGTGGTCTTTTCAATCACTTGTTATGCTTCTGAGAGCTGGATAATGAATAAGGATGACAGAAGACTTGATGCATTTAAGTTGTAGTGTTGGAGAAGAGAACAGAATATTCCATAGACTACCAAAAGAACAGATATGGCTTAGAGAAGGTGCAGCCAGAGTGTTCCTTAAAGGCAAAGATATTAAAGCTTCTTCCCACATACTTTGAGCATGTTGTTAGAAGAAGCTATTCTTGGAGAGGGTCATCATACTTGAAAAGGTGAAGGGGTGGCATAAGAGAGGAAGATTCTCAAGCAGGTGGATTGGCAAAGTGATTGATACCATGGGCTCATGACAGAGATGATGAGGATGGCACAGGACAGGACAGAGCTCAGGGTTGTTGTTCACAGGGTTGCTATGGGTCATACTCATCTTGATGGCACCTAACAACAATAACAACAATGGGAAAATGGAGTATGCACTAAGGAGTGATAGCTCACTTGACTCCATCCCACCTTATACAGTCTCTCCAGCATGTCTCCCTTTATCTCAGCCCATGACCACTGCTTCAGCCCTGAACAAAGACTCAAGGAGGATTGACTTCCTACAGGTTAGGCTCTAGGAACTGCTGGCTAGAATCTAGCAAGGCTTCACCCACTCCAGCTGCGGGCATATCCTAGCATGCAGTCGCAGGCCCATGAAGGCATCTACCTGCTGGGAGCTCTGATAGCAAGCCTGTGAGAAGGGACTTTGCAAGGACATTCTGCATGGAACTACCATCTTGCTAGAGTAATACTAATGCAACAGGTGAAGTGATGCAGACCTTGAGATTCCTGCTGCCCAGAGTCCCTGCAGGGGACCCTTCTAGCTTCTGGGATTGTATACCTGTCACTCACTGTACCTGGAACAGTCTTCCTTTCCTTGGGCTTATGGAGTCAGCATAACAGAACTGCCCCATATAGGTCACTCTCCACTAGAAAGTATCTTGGAAGGACCTGGGTTCTAGGTGTTTCTATGTGTTCCCTGAGTGCACCAATGCTGTTAAACCAAGGCTGACTGCCCAGATGTCTTGGCTGGCAGGTAGAAAAGTGAGTCTCAGAGAGGACAGTCATCTTCCAGGTTCAGAGCTATCATCTGAACATGTGGCCTGTGGTCCCTCTTCAGCCTCTCTGTTCAAGACTTGGGGCAGAGACCCTCCTCTGTGACCTAAGACTGAGTAATGAACACTCACTTTACCTCTCTCTGAGAGGGAGGTTTTGCTGCCCTGACAGAGGGCAAAAGGGAGGTAGAATTGCTGCCATTGTTCCTCTGATTAATTCCACAAACAGATGGTTCAGCAATCCAGTGTGAGTGGTTGACTTTTCACAAAATCCCATAGGTTTTTGGGTCTGTGCTGGAGCCAGCCTGGATGTCCCAGAGGAGATGAAGAAGAGCAGCGGCACAAGAAGTGGGAACACAGGGTAACGGTTCAGAGGTAGAGGATGTGTAGTGAGGATGAAGGCTGGCCAGTCTCCCAGTGGGAGGAGGTGAGCACTGGGCCAGATCTTGACATGATGGCAGCAGGGGCCCATGCTACATGTTCTGCAGTATGAGGTCAGCTGTGCTTGAAGAGGGCATTTATTGTGTCTCTTCACTGGTTGTGCGCTGTTGAATGGTTGGAAACAGAACCAGCAGTTAGAAGGCCAGAGCTGATACACAGGGTGTGATACAGGGAAAAGACACTGGAAGGGAAGATATTGGTGGGCATGCAGGTGATACCTGAAGAAGAAAAGGCCCAAAGGGTGGAGAAAAGGTATAGCTGGAACCTGGCACCAGTGAAAGATTACTGGTGAGAAGGATGAGACAGCATCAAGTGTCTGAACAAAGTAGATGCTCAGTGAATGTTTATCATCTGAATAGATGAAGAATCCTCCATCCAAAGTGCTGTCAGCACCCAGGTGTGCTTTTCCTATTTTAAAACCTCTCCTTCCTTGCCTGCTGTTGTCCTAGAAGAACTCAGCTGGCCAGCAGGAACAATCCTGCCCAGGTTGTGTTGTATCCCTGCCTGTGAATCCCTTCTGCTGTCTTTGCTACTCTCTCTTTCTCTGTCACCATCCTCCTCCTTGTCCTTATCACTCCCAGAATTGAGTCTCCATGGCAACTTACCACCTTAGCTTGCCTGCATCTCAGCCTCTGCCAGGGATTCTGAATTTGTCCCTATATTTCCCTCCTCCAGAGACTGGTGCCCAGTTCTTATCTCCTCCCTCTGGTGTGAGCTCACAAGCAGCCTCCTCTCTCCAGAATGTTACAATCATTTTTCAGCCTGAGTGTGAGCCTGGGAGACTGGGGAGATTGTCCTCCCACTCCTGGCCCCACAATCTACCTCTCACAGCTTTCCCAAAATTGAAACTAACCTTACCTCTTCTCTCTGCATCCAGACCCTCTCCCCGACTCTGTTTCCCATGCCAAGACTCACCTTGTCTACCTTTTCCTTTTTTCATCAACTTGGCAAGTCTTTAGACCTGTAACTTGTCGAAGAGGCTGGGGATGAAGGGAATTAGTTGGCGTAGTGTAGGATGAAGAATCACTGGAATTAAGGATTAAGAGAACAGCCTGCATTCTGTTCTAAATGCCTTTTTAATGGTAAATATATATTTTTTCTTTTTTTTTTTCTCCTCCAAGGGGAGAAAATGTAGCTTCGTGGGAAGTACCAGCAACTGTTTGTAAGTAGCAGAGTCTGCTTACAAGGGTCAGTTGTTCAGAGACCCTGGAGAGTTAGAGTTGGGAGGGCTGGTTGGGGAGATGGAGGCTGTCTGTGGCACAACAGGAGGTGGTGGACAGCAGGGGATCATCTTTCAGGCTATGGAGGGAGAAGGGACAGGGACAGCAGATTCTAGCTCAGAGCAGGAGCTGGAGGTATTGTCTAAAAACCAGAGACATCTGCTCAGCCGAGGTGGATTGCTCAGGGAATTAGGGTGCTCTATTGCCTCTTCCCATCCCCATAGCAGTTGACTATGCTTAATCTGATGGCATGATTTTGTAAAAATGTCACTTCTGAGGGGTCCAGTTAAGGTCATTGACTCCCTTGAAGAATTTTTGCAGCAGGAAGCAATGAGATTTCAAAGAACATTTGGTTCAGAGCATCATCACAATAGTCCAAGGAGGCAAATGCTTAGAAAATCAGGGAACTGAGGCCCAGAGAAATGAAGAAACTTGTCCATGGTTGCTGTACTGAGCTGTGGCGGAACCAGGGTCTGATCAGACGTTCTCCTCTTGGAGCCATGCTCATTCTGCTCTGCTGCCTGCCACGCCACTCTGGGATCTGTAGCTTCAGGGATGTTAGCCAGTGAGTAGTAAATGGGCCTTGGCCTCTCTGGGGACAGCTGCACTGTTCCTAAGGCCTTGAGGACTCAGAAGCAGCAGAGCGGTACAGAGCAAAATCAAGCCCCACCCAAATTACCACCTTTCCCCCCGATCCTTAGTTTGAACCCTCTGCAACACCAGCCTACTTTCAAAGTCCTGCTCTGTTTTCTAGGCCCTGCTCACCATTTCCCAAATTGGAGCTGGGCTTGGCATCCAAGACTGGTGAGGTGAGGAGCTGCCAACTTGCACCATCTGAGGCTGAGGAGGCCTGCCTCAGTCCACTGTGGCCAGGATGTCTGTGCTCCGTGTTATAGAAACCATCTCACCCCAGTCTACCAGACACCATGCAAAACCCAGTGCCACAAACAGTGTAGGCAGAAGGGGCTCTTCAGTCTGGGGGAGAAAATGAAACTGCTGCCACAGAAGCTGCAGAGTCCTGCAGTGCATGTTCAGGATCAGGCCTTACTGGGGTGGGGACAAGGCTCTGGGTCTGCTCTGAGAGGAGGCGGGTTCTTTGGGTCCTATTCTAGAACATTATGATGGGGGATGAAGTTCCAGGTTGGGGCCCAATTCCTAACCCATGATGTTCAAGAATCCTTCTCCCACAGGAAGCATGTGACATGAAGGCTGAGCCTGTGCTGCTGGTGCAGATCAGTGCTTTTGGGGGCCTCATCCTGAGGATGCAGGCTGTCAACCAGCCTGAAGGACTGTCTGGCCAGGAACATGCCCATCTGCCTTCTTGCCATCCATGGGGAGCAGTGCTCATGGAAATCTTTCTTCCTCAATCACTTGCTTCAGGGCTTGCTAGGCCTGGTGAGGGAGGTGCTGGGGAGGGGGTCCCAGACTGGCTATTTGGGAGAGACAGGGGTCTGAGAATATACTGTGTCTCCTCCTATAGGATACTCATAAGGGCAGTTGGCCTAGAGGACAGGGGCTCAGGTAGGAGGCCAGCAGCCTCACCAGAGGCATCTGGATGTGGAACCACCCTTTCCTGGTGGAGAAAGAAGAGAAGAAGGTGAGGAGGGTAGAAAAGGGCAGAAAGAGGCCAAGAGTGCACGAGGAAAGATGAGAGCCAGGGTGAAAAGTAGAGGGAGACAAAGAAGAGGGAAGTCTAGAAAGAACTAGTAGGCATGAAGAAACTGAGAGAGGAAAGAGCTTGAGAAAGGAGGGACCACTGGGTGGAACAGGGCTGACTGGTTGAAGGCGAGGAAGACCTGACTCCTGGTTGTGTTGCTGTCAACTCCACCCACCACAAGTGGCCGTGTTCCTCGTGAACCCAGGAGGTCTCATGAATTCTGAACCAAGCAATGAGACCAGGACCAAGCTGTGCACTCTTGCTGCCGTGCTGAGCTCCTACCAGGTAGGGAAGTCCTAGACCACAGGTGGTCCCTTGCCTACACATCTCCCTCCCCTTGCAACAGCTGCCCTCAGCTCATGGCAAAGACAAGCAGGTCTCACAAGCAACCTGCAGGAAGAACAGGAGTTTTCTAGTTGGGAAAGATGGGAGCATAGCTCTTCAAATAATGGGCTAAAGGACTCTGTTGTTGTTTTTATGTGCCATCGAGTCGTTTGCGACTCATAGTGACCCTATGTACAAGAGCCCTAAACGCCTTTCTATCTTGTGCCAACCTTGCCGTCTCAAACACACTCATTCCCACCACTCCACTCACAGAATCGATCCATCTCATCAAGGGTCTTCCTCTCCTGCGCTGTCCCTCCACTCTCCCAAACATAATGTCCCTTTCCAAGGACCAGTCCCTCCTTGCAACATGCCCAAAGTATGTCAGACGAAGCTTCAGAATCCTTGACTCCAAGGAGCGTTCTGGCTTCATCCTCTCCAGGACAAACCTGTTTGTTCTCCTAGCAGTCCATGGTATATTCAACACTCTTCTCCAGCACCACAGCTTAAAGGCATCAATTCTCTATCATCTCTATTCACTGTCTAACTCTCTGATGCATAGCAGGTGCGCCTTAGTCTCCCGCCCGACGTCATTGCTCTTCAGTACTCTTGAGAGGTCCCTTACAGCTGACTTTTCCAATGCAATTTGTCTCCTGATTTCCTGGCTGCTGTTACTAAGGGTGCTGACTGTGGAACCAAGTAAACTAAAACTGTCAACTATCTCAATTTCTTCACCATCCATACTGATGCTGCCAATTGGCCCAGTGGTGAGAATCTTTGTTTTCTTGATGTTGAACTTCAATCCATATTGAAGACTGCAGTCCTTGACATTCTGCAGCAAGTGCTTCAGGTCCTCCCCAGTTTCAGCAAGCAGGGTTGTGTCATCTGCATAACGCAGGTTGTTGATGATTCTTCCACCAATCCTGATGCCACATTCCTCCTTGTACAGCCCAGCGTCTCGGATGATCTGTTCTGCATACAGATTGAAAAGGTATGGAGACAAAATACATCCCTGACGGACCCCTTTCTTGATTTTGAACCATCCATTGTCTCCCTGCTCTGTTCTGACAACTGCCTCTTTGTGCAAGTAGAGGTTTCGCATTAGCACAATCAAATGTTCTGGGATTCCCATTCTTCTCAGAGTCAGCCGTAGCTTGTTGTGATTCACACCCATAGAGCCATGGTCCCATTTCTTCAGCTTGCCTTCTGTACTGAAAGGCAAGCATAAATGTTTCCTCCATGCTCTGTGTACCACCTGAGAGCTCCTCCCCATTTGCCTTTTCCTTTCTCAGTTTGCCTTTCCAGATTCACTCCCATGTTGTGCTCTCCTTGGTTTCAGGTCCTCAACACATCCCAGAAACTGAAGAATAATGATATGGAATACTTGTGAAGATATGGAATACTCTGTGAAGGGTAGACTACTCCCCTTCTGCATTGACCAGGGGACTCTGGACCAGGTGGGATTAGTCCTTCTAGTTCTGACCTAGGATGTGTGTCAGTTGAACTGAGCTGATAAAGCCCAAGAAGAAGTAAGGAATTATTGGAGTTGGGAAAGTGGGTGCTTGTTTCTCTACTGTGAGAAAGAGGGTTTGAGATATTACAAAGTCTTCAATGTGGTCTTTTTATGACTCTACCTATGCCTTGCCTCCAGAGATTTGTCCATGTGGATGAAGTGATGGGCAAGCATTATGGGATGATCCCAGTCCAGGTAAGACACTCCTGATCCTTATCCCCAGACCTGGACATTCAGTAGCTGAGGTTAGTCCTTCCTCTCCCCTTTTCTCTTAGCATCTGGAACTTGTACTTCACAACTCATCTCATCCAAAAAAGGCAGGGCTGGGACACATGAATGACATTATCCAGGTGAGAAGAACAGAGGAAGGGCCTTCCTGGCTTAGAGAGTGGAGGCTGTGGGCAGGGCAGACTATGGAGGAAGTTAGAAGAAGTTCTTACAATGAAGGGCGTAAGTGTTTCTCAATCCTTCTTAAATTATCAGCCAAATATCCCAAATTCAGGAGCTGCTTCAGAGGAAATGAATGTACTTCTATCTCCTGCCTTATTTGGGGAGGCAGTGGGAAAACACAGGCCACAGAAGTCCTGGGGGTAAGTACCCACTGGAGTAGACCTTTGTGTGCTTCTTCCTAGTTGCCCCTGCTTAACTAAACCTGACTAGAGCCCTTCCAATCTAGCTTCTTTCCCCAGAGTCCATCACATTTCAGCCCTATCTTCCCCACCTTAGACCCAAGGGAGGATGCCAGCTACCTTTTTCATGCCTACATCCTGGATGTGTTGAATACGGCCCCTCAGCTTGCCAAGAGCCACTGCCGTGGACCCTGGCATGAAGGATGGGGCCTTCCCCAAGTGGACAGATGTCTGCTTACTGGGCAGCAGTTAGCTCAAGAAATCACGATGTGGAACTATTCCTCTTGCTCAGCCCTCAGCCACTGTGGCAACCTTGACTCCTCTCTTCTCCACAGAACCTCTCAGGCTGGATGGGGAAGATGGCACCCAGCTTCACCTCTTCAGAGGAAGTAGGGAGAATGATGAGGGCCCAGTGGGAGCACCCAGGGTCAGGAGGGGGATGGGGAAGCCTTGCGATATATTGGTCTGTTCTGAAGTGAAGATGAGTAGCAATCCATCTGGATTATGAAAAAGAAGCTGGTATATAACCTGGTCTTTTCATGGACAGATGACAAATGGAAGCTGCCAAGAAGGAGTCAGAGGAATTCTTGAGGCAGCAGGTGAGACTTCACAGCCAAGTAGGCACATACTGGGAGAAGATGCATGGCTTTCCTAATCAACAGCGTTGCTTTCAGTCTCTCACTCAGGACTTGATGAGAATGTGCGTATTCTCTGCCCTCTGGGTGCTTCCTGACACCATGAGGCACCTGCTTTCTGCCCAGAGAGATGCTGTCCTGGCTTAGCACCATGTGGCCTTGCTGTGCCGAGGGAGGGAGCCAATCTTGGAGACCATGTAGGGGGAGCTGCAGGCCACAGCTAAGGTTCTCATAGACACATACACAGTGTGGCTTAGCAGCTGCCTAGCCACTGTTGGGGATGCTTTGGGTGTTGGGTTCATGGGCCTGGTGGGTGGAGTAGTGGGTGCAGGCATGGCAGTAGCAGCTCTGGCTGCAGAGGCTGTCATGGTGGCAACTGGAGCTGTGGTGGGAGCCACGGGGTCTGCTGTGTTGGGAAGTGGTATGGGAGCTGGGTTGGCTGCCACTGTGGGTTGCATGGATAAGAAAGAGGATGAATGGGTGCAGGAAGGGGATCAGGAATCCCTTCTCCAGGATGAGTAGGAGGCCTTGGAGGTATTAAAAGGAGGGAAAAATATGAGGCTGGCAAGCAGGTGTTTCCGTGGGCCAGATGTACCACTCTACCCTGGATGAATGCTCAGTGTCCGGGGTGCACCAGGGACCTGGGGATATTTCCCTTGCCAGGAGGCAGTATCTGGAGGTGATGCACTCTCTCAGGTTGAAGGTGATTGTTAATCTGCCATCCTTTCCAGATATACTTGAGACCAAGTTCTCTGACCACCAGTGACCAGGAGTTCACCTTCCCACCTCTACTTGTATTGTTGAAAAGTTGAAACATACCTCTCCTAGAAACCTTTCATTGGATCCAGTGAATTTAGTGTTGAAAAGGCCTCAGGGAAGAGGGAAGAGGAGTGTGAATATGGAACATAGATGCTGACTGGCTGCCACTGTGGACTACATGGAGAACTAGGACAGGAAGGTTCACAAAGTACATCATGAACTTCTTCTCCAGGAGGAGGAGGAAGTGTTAAAGATGGGAGAGGGATGGAAGAGATTTGGTATGGTGGATCGTAGCTAAAACTACAAAGCAGAAGACCCTGCTCTCTGGAGACAGTTGCCTGGCCCCAATGTGTTCTCTGCTGCACCTTAGTCTAGAAGTCTGTAGAGGTGTCTTGAATAGCCCCCACTATTCTTAATGTTTGGCTTCTGGAGGATATGTGCCATCAGCAAACAGAAGGCAGAGTAGTACTGCACTTTGAGATGTTGCACAGTAGCAGGTTAAACAAATAGGTTAAACAAAATAAGTAACAGCTTTGAATCCAGATCTCACCCAGACAACCATCATGGTAGTACCAGTACCAGTTTCTGTGAAGACTCTAACTCAGTGGCCCGAGTGTGAGAGTTGAACTGTGCTTATAGACTTCAGTGGGTGATTTGCTGAAACAGTTTGTCAGATCTTTCTTCTGAGCCAACTTTAAGCGCCAGCATTTCAGTTAGCAGCCAAATGCTTAACCATTGGCATCACCCAGGGATTGTACTTTCATACTAGATTCTAGCAAAAGAAAGAAAAGTGGAAACACTCTGCCCTCATCCCTTTCTTCACTGTGACTGGGCAGGTCTCTTACTTCCATCTAGCAGGAGAGCTGTATGCAGCTCTCAGACACCAGAGCTCCACAAAAAACTTGAGGGTCGGATTCCTTTCTGTGAGGACTCACAGAGAGTCCTGTGAGGAAGACCTCTGTGTTATGCACCATAAAGATAATGAGTACAACTGTATGGAAAATAAAATGTGTGTGTTTGAATGCCAATGTCCAATAAGTTCTTGAACAAGAGTTCAGCCCTGACAGAACTTTTAGGGTAGGAAGAGGTGACACACAGAGCTCTGCCATTGGGACTTATGGCTGAAAAGGGGAATATTTTGAAAGAAAAAGTGGTCTGGAGGCTAAGCACTACATCCCTCTTGTGGTTGCAGGGAGTCTAAGGCCAAAGGCTGGTCCACTAGATCTCAAAGTCTTGCTCTTCTCTGAAAAATCACCTCAGGTGATGCTTAGCAGTTGTCAAACAGCATTTGTCCAGGGAGAAGAAGATGGAGGCGTAAAGGAAAACAGTCTGGGAAAATGATAGAGATTGGGGAAGCAGGACAGGGTCGTCTAGGAGTGAGTTCACCTGTTAGTCTTCTCGGTCTCAGTTTACCATCTTAGAAAGACTGCATATTTCCTAGAGGATGATAGCAGTCTAAACTCTATGTCTGACAGACACAAACTCAAATAAGGATACTGGCAGAAGTAGAACCTAAACTCCCAATTTCCTCCACTAAAACCATGGAAAAGTCTGATATGTTAAAATATCTGAGTGATTTTAATGAGGCTCAGTTCTGGGAGACCATGTGTGGAAGGAATTGGTATGGAGCAAGGAGTTAACTAATAGAAGCTGTATTAACAGACTGCTGGGCAGAGTACATATATGGGTAAATCCCAAAGCCAGAGGTAGGAATGAGCAACATGAAGACGTGGGGCTGAGATGCTTCTCTCTACTTTTTGAAGAGCAAACCAAGAGTGGGAAATAAACACAGACTTTGTCATGTTTGTTGAAAAAGCCTTTCTGAAAATACCTCTTTGGATCTATCCATTATCATCATCATCATCTAGTGAATTTACGGAATCTCTCAGTCTGTGGGGCTGACAGATCCAGAACTTGTAGAACCGTCCACTCTCTCTTGTCCCTCTGAAGAGTCACATAAGGAGTGCCATATAGCTGCAATCACTTGAAAGAGCTGTAAGAAATTTGTCTCATCTACTTCCTCTAGCTTTTTGAGCAGATGGACAGAGGGGCCAGTAAGGAATCTCTGCATAGACAAGATGAATAACATCAAGTGATGCTGGCTTTGGGGTTTCTAGCTTACAAAGTTTTCTTTAGATATCATCCTGGAAACCACCCCACAGTGAGCATAAAATACCCATTTTACAGAAGAGAAAATTAAAGCTCAAAGGAATAATGTATTTTAATGAAAATCACTAGGGAGCTCTGACAGCCTAGGGGCAAGAAACTATGCTGCAATCCGAAAGACATGCAGTTTGAGGCCACCACCTGCTCCACATGAGAAGGATGAACAATCTCCTCCCATGTGATTAACTGCCTATGAAAACCCACTGGAGGGTCAGCTATGTGCTGGTTCCAACTCAACAGTTCACAGCAACAACAATTAAAATCACTAGTCAGATATAAAATCAAGACTTGAACCCAAAGTTCTGAAGCCAAATCTCTGGCTAAAAATTTTCCTCCACTTCTTATGTCTGGGTCTCTGTGTCCCAAGCATCTTCACCTTTTAACACATGTTATATAGTTCTCAAGTGAACAGATGACTCTGTGAGTGAAGATTCATCAGAGTCTAGGAGTCTGGTGGTTTTCCTTTTACAACTTTAATGTTCACTATCTTCAAGATTCCTGTG